GGCATGTACGCATACAAGCCATGTTTAACATAGAACGGTCTACTGAACTATGCTTCGACACGAGAAGTATGGGCACATACCAGACCAAGCTCAACATGGAAAGGCGCAAGCCATAGATGGAAGGCGTGATGCAATGCATGCATGCAAACTACAATGCAATATCTACAAATATGCAATGGAATGGATATTTACAAAATGCATGACAATGCAGTATGATGCGATCTACTGGGGAAAATGCAATGGATGCATGCAAGCTACAATGGAAATGCATGACAATGCATGTTTATTTTCTACAATGCAATATTTACAATGTATGCATGACAATGCACTACTTACAATGGATGCATGACAAGGCACTATGATGCAACGGCTATGATTGCAGCTTTCCCCTATCTTACCAACAGGGCGATATACTAGGTTGGTTCAGTATCCAGAACTGAGGAGCCGACATGCCTTATGGAAAGTACTTTTCAACAAATTTACAGTTTATCTTGTTTTTATGCTTATTTTGTGTTCTGTAACAGGTGTGGCCATTGCAAAAAGCTTGCTCCGGAGGTAATGAAACTATCCAATTTCAGATATTTAGCTAGAAATTTCATCAAGCTTTGGATTGTATTTTAGAAGATAATATAGGGGTATTAGGGATGATCTAAATAAGTAAAAATTTTGACTTTTTACGAAAAAACGTGAAATATGGGTTGTGTTTGAAGTGATGTAGTAGAGAGGTGATGTGACCCAAATAAGATAAACACCCCTATATATGCTGATACGGTATATCTATATTGATTTGCAGTATGAGAAAGCTGCATCTGCATTGAGCAGTCATGACCCTCCCATCATTCTAGCAAAAGTTGATGCTAATGAAGAAAAGAACAAAGGGCTTGCAGGTGAATTTGAGATTAAGGGTTTCCCCACACTTAAGATCTTGAGAAATGGAGGGAAGAATATTCAAGATTACAAAGGTCCTCGGGATGCTGAAGGTATTGTTGCTTATTTGAAGAAGCAAAGTGGTCCTGCATCTGGTGAAATAAAATCTGTGGAGGATGCTAGTGCTCTTATTGATGGCAGTAAGATTGTCGTTGTAAGTGCCTTATACTTTCTTGTTTTCTATTCCCATATATACCCCTATCATGATTTTGGAGATTAAAGGCATTTTACATTCTTACAGGTTGGGGTGTTCCCAGAATTTTCTGGAGAGAAGTATGAGAATTTCACAGCTGTAGCTGAAAAATTGCGGTCTGAATATGAGTTTGGTCACACTTTGGATGCAAAGCTCCTGCCACGTGGAGAATCATCAGTTACTGGGCCAGTAGTTAGGTTGTTCAAGCCATTTGATGAACTTCTTGTTGATTTCAAGGTATCAGACTATTGGTACATTTTTAACGTTATGATGCATTGTATAATTTTTATTGATTTTATCATAATCTCTCTATACACACACACACACACACACACACACAACTACTCTATTCCTTACAGGAGGATACAATGTATCTAAATCATGTTGTATGCTTGCAGGATTTTGATACGGATGCTTTAGAGGAGTTTGTTGAAGAAGCTAGCACTCCTGTTGTGACTCTCTTTAAGACACTTTCATACATCTAACTTGCACATCTAGCATTTGTTTGTCAACATACTAAATCCTAAATCCTGGAGCAACTTTTGCTTGATTTTCAGGTTCGTGTCACTTGGCATTGGTCATTCTTGATTGAAAAGAGGTCTTATGCTCTGTTATTTAATTGGTATATGCTGTCAATTTTTTTTAGGTTAGTCTCCCTTCGTTACTGAGAACAAGTGTATGAGACAGTACATGTCGGAGAAGAAAAGGCCACTAGCGTTTCCTCCCTAGTTTCTTTTCCCTACGCACAACACAGCTGTTGTGCAGTAGCCGACCCAACAGCCCCTGTTTCCCCTTTTCTTTCTCCCCCCGTACACCTTGTTTTTGTGTTCTGCAACATTGCTGGCTATGGTGAGAGGTCAGTTTTGTATTCTGTAACTCAAGCTTGTGTTAACAAACTTGAGCATAGAAACATTTGAAGCATGAGCTTTTACAAATAATACATTTGAACTTTCATTTTTATTCTTTACCCTTAAAAATCAATCAACTGTAACTAAATTAAATGGGTAAAATGGTTATCATGTTAGGATAATTTCATCATTTCAAAAAGTTTACACAACATCAAATAGAGAGTTCACACCAACTTGGGTTCTAGATAGATAGATAGATTAAATTAGATCAGAGGAGACCAACTGCAGGCAAAGAATTGCTCCATGGAAGCAATGAAAACTACCTGCAACATTCGGGAACCAGGGAAAGCAGAGATTGAAGACGGGGACATGGAGGTCCTAGATGATGTCGGCAAGGAGCCAGCCGAAAAGAGTGAAGAGACATTGAAGAAAATCCTCGTCCCGGAGGGTGACGAAGAGTGCTTCTTTCTTCTCGGCTCAGGCTTAGCCGAAGAAGAAGAAAGAGAATTGAAAACAAAACTACTCGGCATCATTGGTAGGATATAGAAGACAGTTGGGAAGACTTCTCAGCAGCCTTCTCGGCCTCGAGCTCAGCATCGATCTCCTGAAGAGTTTGATCAAGGCTCTTCTCGGCGATTGGCACCTTGGAGTTTGAAGGCAAGGATTGAAAGCAAGAATCTGGAAAAAGACACAGAAAACAGAAACAAGAATGTAATTCGTAATCAAGAATGGTGATGAAGCTATCAGGAAATCAAGACAAAAAGATTGCACAGGTGTGTCAAGCCAAGAACAGTGGCAGAAATCAACAGATGTGTGAACAGTGTGTATTCAAGAAGATGATTTGGAAGCAACGGGTAAAACAACAATGGTGATTAAACAATGAAGCAGAGCTTCTTGGAAAGCAACAAGAAATAAAACCAGGAGCAACAGTGGCTTACCAGAAAGAGGGAAGCCAGAATGAGAATTGCCGAAGTCTGACGACGGATGCAAAAATGACAGAATGACGTAAGCTTCACCGGAGGAGAGGAGCGAAAACAGTTGCAGAGCTTGAAAGCTTGGAACAATGACGGATTTAAGCAAAAGAGCTAGAAAGAGAAAAAGCCAGAGGATTGAATGAGAAAAGAGAAAAATCAGAGTCAAGAAGACGACAGAGTTCAAGGATAAAGCCAAGTGCACAGGCACTAAGTAAGTATGTGAAGAACAAGAAACTAATGACCCAGACACGATGCTAGCAACAGAAAACGGATATGGAAAGAACAGTGCCAGGCGTTCAAACAATTCAAAACTTGAAAACAGACGAAAATAGAAGACAACAGAGGGCAAGTAAACGGATTCAGAAGAGTAAAAAATAGAGATAAAGAAAAAATTTTAACTTTTTGGTATAAGTTATTGATTTTTTATGATTTTTTAGTAATTTTTTAAATTTTAAACTAAAATATTGAGTTGCCAAATGAAACCTTAATACTCTCTTCGGATGTCTTAAAATTTTATATCCTTCTATGTTTTACTTTAACTGTTCAATACATGTAGTTAAAATTTAGATTGATTGTTGATTCTTAGATTACGGACTGGAATGTTTATTTAATAATAATTCATACAAAGTATTTTTCTCTAAATATGAAAAGTGTGGGGATATATTTTCTGAATACTAACACGTGTCCAAGGTGATGCCGACGTGTCAGCTGAGGTGCCACGTGTCCTGGTTGTTATGCAGAGGTCATCTCGGATAGGTCGAGGTTACCTCCGAAGATATCGGAATCCGAGATAAGCGGATGAGGGGCAAGAGTCCTAGAATAAGAGAAGACTTCAGTTTGTGTTAAGATAAGACTCTTAGAGAGTTTATCCTAATCTTACTGGGAGTCCAAGATTAGCAGTAATCCAGAGTCCATAGAAGTTAGGCTTCTATTGAGACTAGATTTATGTTGGCTATAAAAGAGAGACACCCCCATGGGTCTAAGGTATGGTTTTGGTACTCAAGCTTGTGAGTTTAGCACTTGATTTATCTTTGAGAGATATATTGACTTGATCGTTGGAGTGCCCCCGGGTGGGCGAACAACCGCCGGAATCTTCTCTTTCTGTTGCAGGTCAGCTAGGTGTCATCTGTTCTGCCGGTGCTCTCCAACTGGTTACTAAGCGGGCAGTGTGGTCACTCACACAATCAATTACTATGTAAAACTTTATTGTTTGTTTATGTCACTAATTAGGTTGTCGGGCTAGTCAAATCACGAATGTTTTGTGTTTTGTTTTTTGTTTTTTAGCTTGCTTGCTTGCTTTCACACTTATCTTGATGATCCTTGTACTGATCCATTTAAGATTCGTTTGTAATATGGGTTTAATTTTTGACTATTTTAATTTTGGATTAAAAAATCTTGTTTGAGATATATATATATATTTTGATTTTTTTAAAAGAAAAATGAAATGATTATAGTTTAGATGTGACATTTTATCTTATTAAATTAAAAAATCTATTTTATTTTTTTTATAACTATTTTAATCCAAAAAAACTCCATTTTAAAAAAAGAAGGTTTTAATTTATTAGAATGAGATAGTCATTTCATTCTTTTACAATAATAAATAATAGTTTTATCTATTATATATATATATATATATATTAATACTTATGAGTCGAATGCTTTCCTTCTGTTTTTGTCTAAAACCTCAAAAGGTGAAGATGATATATTCTATTTTAATGAGGTCTCTAATCTAATCAAACAATGTTTTTCTTCAATTTTTACCTTTTTTCATTTTTTGGTTTGTCCTTTTTTTGGTCGCTTTTGTTGGACAATTTTCACTATATTTAAATAGATTAAATTCTGTTGTGTACTAAACAACAATAAGAATATAAAGAAATAAAGAAAATGAGAGAATTTGTTTGATTACAAAAATCAAACTAGAAATAAATAAATAACAACATATTTTATTTTGTTACACAAACAAAATTAAAATCTGATTTAATAAACAAATAAAATAGAATAATAAATTAAACAACTTACTTTATTAATTTCTTCTAATAAATATCTGATCAAGTCCAGTGTTTGACACTGTGTCCTTAAGACAGATTCGTCCTCCCCACGGTACTTTTAGAATATGGACGTCTATCTCCCAAGATGAAATGATCAACTACAAACAATAGCAGCACTACAAATTGTTTGCCTAAGGAACACACTAAGTGTTGATACTCTTTCTTACAAAAATTAAATTTAGCAAAATGAAGAATAAATTTGCAAAGGTGAAGTACAAAATTTTTGAATGTGTAAACATCAAATAAGCGCTGTCCTATTTATAGATGTAGTGGTGGCTGCAGGTTTTGAATTAAACATGTGCAAACTTGTTTGAACAGGTATGAAACCTATTTGGTTTTGAATTTAAACAGATTTGAATCTGTTGGGTTCAAAAATTCAAACAGATAAAAAACAGGAAGGGCCCTGTTTGGGTGTACAGTAAAACCGGACCAATTTATTTCCGGAATTAATTTGAATTCTGGATTTTATTTTTTAAAAAATAAAATTCAATTCAAATGTTTTTGGCCCAAAAAGAAAGGTATTAGGCCAGACAAGCCTAACCCAACCTCACACCATGCACCCGCGCCCAAGCCTAGGCCCAGCCTAGCTCGCCCGACCGGACCGACGGACGGTGGTAGCGGCGCTCGCCCGCGTGTGTGGTGATTTTTGGGTCCAATGGGTCTAGCCCATTTTGCCCATAACCCCCCTCTCTAAAACACTTGGGTACCCCTTGGGGCACACCCCAAGTTCCAATCACATGCCTTATAAACCCATTCAAAACTTCCCACCAAATCAATGTGAGACAAGCCTTATTCAAACCTTTAAGGATTTTTCACCAAAACTCCATTTCCATGGAGCATACTTTGGCTTTAATTTCCCATTCACTCGGTAATGGTTTTGAGCAATCAAATATACCACGTGAATCACAACGTGGCATAGAACGTGTTACCACTTTGACCCGCGAAAATCGACGCACGGGGCCCACCTAAAAAATAGACCAAACTTTGAAAAAAATTCTGTTATTAACCTAGAATTTCTAAACCATTTCCAACAATCCCTCACATGAATGGAATTTGATGACAACGGAAATGCAACAATATGCAGACTTTATTGAAAGAGTATAAGTCGAAAATATCTTGCATCAGGATAGGTAGCCTTCGGCCTTGAACCTTCCCTAGTGATAACCTATCGGACTTACTAGCTGAGAGGGAGATTTATGATCTGGAATTGGGCCGAGGCAAGGGCCAAGCAGGTTGAGAGCCTAATGATGCATGGGGCCGAGATGACCGGCGATCCGCCCGTAGATGGGCTGCCAGGACTTGGGCCGAGCAGGAGTTGGGCCAAGTATGTGCCGCCCCAGACCGTATAGAAGCTGCTCGACAAGGCAGTGCTCGGTTGGGCCAAGCTGCTTGATCAGGCAATGGTGTAGCCAGTCAAGCTGAGTGACCGGCGCCCGGAAAGGCGTGGTCAGCCGAGGCAATCGTTTGATCGGCAGGAAGGCCGACCATAGGAAGTGCCCCGGGCTAGGCTTTGCCGAGAAGCCGCCTAGCCCGGTCCTCCTTGGGCTTAGCCAGTGAGGTGCTTCGGTATGAAGCACAGCTCGGCCGTGGATAGAGAAGCTCGGCTGCCGAGCTCTAGCTGAGAAGGCAGGCAGTTGAGATTTGGTGATGTTCAGCAAGGTTTATGCTGACAGATGGGATAGTGGAGCCACGTGTCAGGAGATGACTGGGAGTGGATATGGGGCGCAGAGGGTATGTAAGCATGTCTGCGCCCCCCATACGCGAGACAGACGAACACTTTGTAAGAAAACTCCTACACTCTAACCCCCCCCCCCTCTCTCTCTCTCTATCCCAAAGTGTGTGCTAACTTGATCGTCGGAGGGTTTTTCCGGCCACACACCGCCAGGTAGCTCACCATTATTTGCTCGCAGGTGATCGGACAGAGACGGAACTCGGAAGAAAGGAATACGGGCTTGCCGGAATATTTGATCCCCGTACAATTGGCACCGTCTGTGGGAAGTTGACAGACAAAACCTTGTCTTCCAGGTTCATCTGATCGCCGTCCATGGCGAACAACGACGAGTTTCCATTGTCTGCCATAGACGGAGCCACCCCAGAGTTCACCCGAAGGAGAGAAGGTCCTCCCGCCATCTATCCAATGGCGGACTTGGGGACGCCCACCGGAGGACAATCAGGAGACACGCGGGATAAGCGCAGAAGAAGTCACGGTCATTCATGGAGTCCAGACGGTCACCGGCGGAGGAGAGACTCGCACGCCAGATGTCTGGAAAATAAGTTGAGGGACCAAGACGCCGTCATCCGGCGAATGGCAGCGGAGATGGAGGATCTGATGCGGCATGTCAAAGGGAAAGGTGTAGCTGGAGTGGGAGACCACAGTGAGCACACCCCATCCCGCCATTCAGGTGGTCAGAGTCAGCGACGTACTCAGTCCATATCTATTACCAGAAGTTACCAGGTTGGTGATTCCGACGCGCATGCAGAAAAGTCTAGCGCGCAAGACAGCACCTACAAACCCTCACGTCCGGTGATGACGTCGAGGTACTCTTACTCCGCTCATTCAGAGGATTTACGGGCGGTCTTAAAGGAGCGGGCTCGCTAGCGCGAAGCTCAGAGAATACCGGCTTTCCAGCGGCTATCTTACGGGGTTCACGCCAGCGAGGCGGTCGGAATGCCTCCACCCCGCCAAGCAGTGCCACTCCTTGAAGATACGGACTAGGCCAGGCTGAGTGCCACCCTTTTTTCCTTGGAAATAGAAACAACCCCGCTTCCGACAGGCTTCCACCAGCCTAAGTTCACACTCTACGACAGAAAAACAGATCCTTACATGCATGTGAGCCACTTCCGACAGGTTATGGCCGGACATAGGCGAAATGACGGACTTATGTGCCTAATCTTCCCATCAAGTTTAGGCGAGCTGGGCTTAAAGTGGTTCGAGAGGTTGCCGGAAGGGAGCATACAAAGGTGGCATCAGTTGGCCGAGGCGTTTGTTACATGTTTCAAAACCAACACAAAAACACCAAAGGAAGTCGACCACTTGCTAAGTGTCAAGATGGAGCCGAGCGACACACTGAAGGTATACAACTCAAGGTACTGGGAAACCTTCAATGAGATCTTGGATTGCCCAGTCAACCTCGCAATCACACAATATGAGCGTGGTCTCCCGGTCGGCCATAGATTGCGGGACTCGTTGACCATGCACCAACCGACCTCCATGGGCCAGCTCATGCAGCGCATCAATGAGCACATCCGAGTAGAGGATGACGCGTCAACTTCTACCGTGAAGGCAACTCTAGTAACAACAGACAAGAAGACAGCAGGCAAAGTGCATGCAGTTGGGCAAGAGTCCAGCCGCCCAGGAATTTTAACAGAGACAACCTCACCATAATGAAAAGGACTGCCTGAGATCTTCATCAGTTACACCAGAGTCAAGCCTTCCCACAAATATCTACAATAAAACATGCGTTAGTTAAAGAACTAGAGTTTCTGATAACTAACTGAGCAAGTGAAGCTGGAGTTACTGTTGTGTTCGATGAATCGCCATCAGACTGAGCACTTTGGGGTATAGCACCAGTTGATGCATGTCCACCAGCCAATATCAGAGCTATCAAACAAAATGCTGTCAAGTTCTCGCATCCAACTGCGTACCCACCCACGTTACAACAAAAAGAAATAATCTAATGAGCATCCATAAAGCTAGTTATGCCCACCCAATGAACATTCAGGTCATGGAGCTACTTCTTCTCCTAGGCTTCAATACGCTAATGCCATGAATACAATTTGTGATATCAGAAACAGACTAAAACCCAAGTTCCCAATGATCCTTTAGTCCACAAAACAACCCTTGCCATGATTAAATCAATGAGTTCTTCCATATCCTCTTTTCTGGACTCGTAAATGGATTACATAGCTAAAATCTTCAATAGATGAAGGTCAAAAATCAAAACACTTTCAATTCAGAATGACCAACCAACTAAAGACTTCAATAAATAGGAATTTAACAGAAATAACAAAATTACAATGGGTTTATCAGGTACAAACTGATTAGCTATGCCACTCATTTTAGCTTCTTCAACTTGACTAGATTTCAAGTTGAAATTCGCATTATTAAGAACCAAACTGAAAACCCAGAAAATCTCGGATGATCTAGGGCAAGAAATTTATCTCAAAGGTAAATTATGCCTCCCGAAATCCAGATCATCTTGTTCCTGTGATTCAACGTCAACAATCCATGGCCTTCAAAGTCTAACCCTAATTTCTTACCAAATTCGATTGTATCTTCAGCTTTTTTTAGGATTAAGCTGTTGAAGATATGAAGAGTCCATCTCGTTACCAAATTATGATTCAATTTTGCATCGGCCACTCCCCTCTTCTTATTCTTCATGGTTCCAGTCCCACGTTTTTGCACCCTTTTGGTTAATTATTAGCTTTTTTTTTTTTTTTTTTTGAGCAATGGTTAATATTCTCAATAATTATAATTATGACAAAAGAAATTAAATTTTTATGTCTACACATACTTTAGAGTTCAAAAAGATGATATACCTTGGACTAAATAAATTTAAAAGGCCAAATAAATTAAAATTTAAAATTACAAAGTTAAGTTTTTTAAATAAATAAATTGACTTATAAATGTTGCTAGGCTTTGTCTTTTTGAAGAAAAAAAAAATTTACATTGCTTATACCCTATTAACATTTTGTTTGTATGCTTTAGTACAAAATAATTTACACATAACCATGTTACAAGAAATACAAGTCAAATTTGTCTTTAATGTAAGTCATAAGTTAATAGTTTAAAGTAAATTTTTTTTCTCTCTTTTCTTTTCTAACTTCCACTTAGTCTTAAGAATTAAATGAGTAGTATTGATCTCACATTTTCTAACTTCTTTAATTTTATGCGTTCACAAAAATATTTTCTTATCACATGATTAGGTAGGTAACTTAATGAAATCTTTCCACTACAGGACATACAAAATAACTTACAGACATGTTGTTTTCAAGTTACAGTATGGTTGCATTCACAAATTTGTTATTTGAAATGGTTGCAAACAATACATAAATGGCAGGTATTCAAATTTAAACACATTTCTTGATTAACCATTAAGGTTTTTGCCTTGTTACAATTTGCAACGTTAAAAAAAAAAAAGAAATAAAAAAAAGGAGAGAGAGAGAGAAGACAATCTAATAGACTAGTCTCTTACGGAAGTGAGGGATCTAAAAAGAACAAGATGTATGCAGTCTTATTTTCATTTTTGAATAACTAATTTTTGTAACTCAAACTTGCACCACCAAAATCAGTAACGACAAACTTCACCATTGGATTAAGCCATACTAATCCAACTCTAGTTCCCTTTCAATCTTTAATCACTAATTTATTTGTCAATCTTGCTATGCTTTAATTTGTGGGTGGAAGTATTCCATCCAAGAAGGATGAGAAGAAGGCAAGTGCTCGAGCTGGTTGATAACTTGGAACAAAATGGCAAGCTCCCCTAAGGTTGGTTTGGGAAGTGGGTTAGCTTTTTGGCTATTTTAGCTATTTTAGCATGGGCTAAAAAACTTGGTTTGGGAAAGATTTTTGACTTTTTTGGCTTTTTTTTGTGAGAGAAAAATGTAATGATTATGGATTAGATGTGATGTTTTGTTTGTTGTGACTAAAATAGCCTATTTTGTCTTTTGTGACTAAAATAGCCACAAACCATCTTCCCAAACGAATCCTTAACAAATGTCAAGTTTTCATATCCAACTGCGCATCCACCAACCTTACAACAAAAATCATTATAAAAAAAAATGTAAGACAAAAATCCGTGAAAAATATAATTTGTCTTGAAAATCAGAGAGTTGCTATATAATTTTAATTTTTTTTTTTTTGGTCACTATATCCACATACAAGGTGGGGAAAAAATGTGAAACAAATGTCATAATTTAAAACTTAATAAAATATAGTGACTATGATGTAAGGATCTCTTTGTTTTTACCTCTCCTTGAAGGTACCAAGGGTACCATTTTGTCTTCACCGATGTTTGGAGTTTATCTATACCATATTTAGTTATTGTCACTGGCACTACACCATCAGTATCTCCGCTGCAAATAAAAATTAAATTACTTACATGAGATCATATTGAAAGCTATACCCACTTTTTTAATTAAGGTTAGTTTTAGCATTTTGAGGAGCTTTGGAAATTATAGGAATTAAGCACATTTCTTTTCGCATTACCTGTTAGTTTAATTCAATGACGAATTACCTTATGGTTAAAAATTATCAAGGAAAATGGTATATAAACAAAATTATTATACAGAATAACAAAATCATAAATAACATAACGTAAAAAAAATATTTATACATAGCATCAAATGTTAGGTACCTATAAATCCAAACACTAATACCACTGGCCATCTGCTTCTGAATGATCGGTAACATTGTTAATGGCTTGTCATTCCAAACGCTACCGATATAGCCACTGTATACAGATGCAGTTGAAGACATGTTACTAAAAGAAATTAGCAAGTATGAGCTGTAATTTTACATATTGAAAACATTTTCATGAAAATAAAAAATGTAACTGAAAGTTTTAAAGATGGGGTTCAATGTCTAACATAAAAAATTTTTTAAATAATTTTCTAGGTACTTTCCGGATATATAAATTACTCGAAGAAGACCAGTGACATTTGCATGAAGGGACTTTTGCACATGAGGAATGTTCAAGTATACTGCGATATAATTTTCTGTGCATGGATCAAATATCGATACATGGAAAGTTGGAAACTCAGGACAAAAATCAGAAAGAAAAAAAGCAGAGAAAAGAAAAGAAAATATTTAGTAGTAGTAGTTAGTTATACCGGGAGAGCGTTTGAAGATGATGGTAGGCACAAGGGAGAGTAGATGTCGTAGGGGTAGATGTTGCCTTGAGCAGCGCCTGCTTGAGCAAGGTAGTCTTGGCATGTTAACGATATGTTTGCATCCGATGAAAAATTGCAGTTTGCGACAATTCCCTCGTAAATTTCATCAGATATGAGAGCATGAGTCCAGAAAAAGTTGTACACCCCTGTGTATTCTGTTTCGTAGTCAACATATGCATTTCCAATCTGAATTAACATCATAAGAACACCAGTGCGAGTAGGACAAGTAGTCGAAGAGTTTTTAGAACAACTTGGATTGACATGAATTCAAGAAGAGGTCAAGAAACAGAGGTCGAGCTAGTAATGTCTGAAAGATTGGTAAGGAGGGAGAGAACAGAGAGAGACTGAATTGAAGAATTGGTGTTGTTATATTATGTTTCTGTGTAAATACAAGAGGGTGAGCTCCCTCTCTTTATAGAGAGGAGAAGGAGACAAATGGAATCGGATGCCTGGTAATTACATTGAGATAAGCTAAAGCTAAAGTGAAAGTTGTGGCCTTTACAGCTACACATTGTGGCCTTTACAGACACAAGGTCTTTTACAGCTATACATGGTAGTGGGGTGTATATATTATATGTTAACAGCCCCCCGCAAACTCAAGGAGGGTAGGCATCGACCAAGTTGAGTTTGGAAACAAGATCACGGAAGCGCCTAGGAGGATGAGCCTTGGTGAAAATATCAGCAGGTTGATCGGCAGAAGCAATGGGGAGAAGATGAACAGTACCACGTGTAACATGTTGTCAAATGAAGTGGCAATCAATCTCAATATGCTTGGTGCGATCATGAAAAACATCATTGTGAGCAATCTGAATGGCACTCTGATTGTCACAATAAAGAGCGGTAGCGCCAGAAGAGGAAATACCCATATCAGTGAGGAGCCAGCGAAGCCAGAGAAGTTCCTGAGTAGTATCAGCAAGGGCTCGGTATTCAGCTTCGGTGCTAGAACGGGCAGTGAGGGATTGTTTTTGCTACTCCAAGTAAGAAGAGAATCCCCTAAGAAGAAACAGAATCCCGTGGTGGAGCGTCGATCCGTAGGATCCCCAGCCCAATCAATATCAGAGAAGGCACGCAGTTCAAGAGATGAGGGAGCAGAGTAGTGAAGGCCATGAAACAGGGTGCCTTTGATGTATCGAAGGATGTGGAGTAGAGCAGTATAGTGGGGAGTGCGAGGAGCCGACATGTACTGACTAACAATGTGAACAGCATAGGCAATGTCAGGACGAGTCACTGTGAGATAGACAAGACTACCGACGAGCTGACGATAAAGAGTAGCATCAGGGAGGAGAGCCCCGTCGAGAGGAGTGAGACAAATCTGAGGATCAACTGGAGTAGATGTAGTTTTGCAATCAGTAAGACCAGTACGAGCCAGAAGATCGGATGCATATTTGGCCTGAGATAAATAAGAGCCAGTAGAATCATGAGAGACTTCAAGGCCTAAACAATAGTTGAGAGTACCAAGGTCCTTCATCTCAAACTGACGGTGGAGAAAACGTTTGAGGTGGAGAATACCAGCTGCATCATTACCAGTGATAATCATATCATCCACATACAGAAGGAGAAGAGTGGTACCATGAGGAGTAGTCCGTATAAAAAGAGCAGAGTCATAGGAGCTAGAGGTGAACCCGAAGTCATGAATGGTAGAACTGAACTTAGCAAACCAGGCACGGGGTGCTTGCTTGAGGCCATAAAGTGCACGCTGTAGTTTGTAAACCTTATGAGGGGGAAAAGTAGACCTAGGTGGAGGTTGCATGTAGACCTCCTCAAGAAGATTACCATTGAGGAAGGCATTTTTGACATCCATTTGAAAAAGCTCCCAGTGGCGAGCAACAGCAACAGCCAGTAAACTGCGAACAGAGGTAAGCCGAGCAACGGGGGAGAAGGTTTCCTCATAATCAATCCCATATTCCTGGTTGAAACCCTTGGCAACAAGACGAGCTTTGTAGCGTTCAATAGAGCCATCAGAATGAGTCTTGATTTTGTAAACCCATTTGCAGCCAATCGCAGTTTTGCCAGGAGGAAGGTCAACAAGATCTCAAGTATGAGTTTTGTCCAAAGCCTGAAGTTCATCAGACATAGCTTGCTGCCAAAGAGGATTAGTACAAGCCTCACGATAGGAGATAGGTTCATAAGTAGAAAAGGCAGCAGACCCAACAATATAATCACGAAGGTGGATAGGAGGTTGAGTTACCCGGTGTGGTCGACCCGTAGGAGGATCGGTGGGAGGAAGAACCGGTGGAGAAAAAGGTGGTGCAGGGAGAGGTGGACCTTCAGGGAGAGCAGTCTGGTCGGGAGCAGGAGTGAGCAAGGGCGTCTCAATGACGGAGGGACCTGTATCAAAATCATCAGAGAAGAGATTGAGGGAAGGATTAGTAAACAGTACATTAGTGGAAAGTGCAGGTAAGTGAAAGGAGGATAGCGAGGAAAACATTTGGTGCTCCCAAAAAACTACATGGCGTCTAGTTGTTTACATTTATAGAACTTCATGAAATGGGAGTGCAAATCGCAGATGCCATGAAGCAGGGGCTCATTACAGATGAGAAGGAGCCGGCAAAATGGTCGTTTGTTCGCAGTTCAATGCTGCTAGTGGTAGCACAGCTGTGAGGCCATCGATTGTAAGTGTTGTCACCACAAACATCATCCAACTGTAGCTCGACTTTTCATGCTCCTTTTAGAGGCTAGCCCTACAGTTCGGACTCTTGTGGTTCAGAATCTGATCAAACGGTACAGTGATAGTCCAGGTCGAAGGGTTGTGTTTCCATCATGGTAGAACCCATGACTGGTCAGCCTTTTGGCAAGCTTTTGGGCAAGCCTCCGGCAAACTGTCCAGGAATAGCAGATGGCAAGCATAATGACTTAAGCGCACCAATGCAAAGGCAATGCAAAGAACATATAAATGTAGATAAAATTTCACATCATGAAGTGCGAGTCAAGTTCTCTAATTCTCCAACAGAGTCGCCAGAAACTATAAATCGACTTTTTCGCTCCCCATTTCGGAAGTCAAAATAAGCCCTACAGTATCGAACTCCCATGGTTCTGAATCTGATTCCACAAGTGCAATGTGAAATAGATAAACACCAAAGAGTTCAAATCTGGCAAATCTTTTAGAAAATTGATTTTGAATCAAAGCGCCAAAAATGGAATGCTTTACCAGATACAGAGTCGTCACCTAAATATTTTTGAAAAATTTAGGAAACCCATGACTTGTATCAAAGGCCAAGTGTCCGTCATCACCAAGACTGTCTTGGCTCGGAAACTTAGGTATTGAATTTAGCACCCCACTCGCCCGATCAGAGATTGGCCTCTACTAATCATGATGTGATTCTTATTTACATTATATACTCTTGTTCCGATTAGTAGGCTAACCTTACTATGTGATGCGCACACAAGTATAGACTAATTTGTAAAAATTGGAACATTTTGATTTATGTTTGTTTTAAAAAGTGTTTGAATATGTGCCACTTAAAAGAGTGATCTCATATGTACATTACTCAAATTATTTCAATTCAAGCAATTAGCCTTCATCCACAGGTGTATACACCTCATTTTTTACCGCCCTTACGACTTGGACGTCACCGCTTGCACATTGTAGACATGCCCGAACGTCCCGAGCTCCGCGCGCGAAATGGGCGTGAAATCCCGTTTTGTTCATTAGGCTTACTACAGTTCGG